CCAAGTTTAGATACCCCTGCAGATTCTGAGCACCTCACCAAACTACGCCATGCTGTTGAGAAATACCAACCATGCACTCAGACGCACTCAACATCTCCTCCACAATACCTTCCCAAGCTGATCCACAGCTGCAAACATGTATTCGTAAGAAATGACACTCATAGGTCACCCCTCACCCGCCCGTACCGCGGGCCATATGCTGTCTTGGAGTGTAACCCCAAGGCATACCGTCTCAGCATTGGTGGGAAGAGCGACTGGGTATCCATTGACCGCTTAAAGCCTGCATACCTGGAAGAAAAGGAACCTACACCAACCATGCCTCTGGCAGATAACCCAGCTCACACCGTACCTCCTTCAAATGCACCTGCCCATGTCTTGCATCCTGAAGATAAACCCTTTCAAATCTCGCGTTCTGGTCGACTAATCTGCCAACCCAACCGACTTGACCTTACATAAATAAAGACTTTGAACAAAACAATCGTGTAAAGTGCAGTGTACACTTCAACTGAAATTTAACATTTTGTTATTAGTGTAATGTAAAAATATAATGTTTCATAAAGACAAACAATTACATAAATTAATGATATTGTTTATTTTACATAATTATGTTGGTACTTTTACATAATTATCTTAGCTATGTAATATCTACTTTTATTTCAAAACAAAGTTGGTTTTGATTGAATACGCTTCTTCTTGATTCCTCACATTACCATTAACTTTATTATTTCTATTATCATCATCATTATTACTGTTATTGATATTGATATTATTATTATTATTATTATTATTATTATTATTATTATTATTATTATTATTATTATTATTATTATTATTATTATTATTATTATTATTACTGTTATTATTATGATTATCTTTATTATTACCATTAATATTATTATTTCTATTGTTATTGTTATTACTATTATTATTATTATAATTATTATTTTCATGATTTTTTTGATTCCTCACATTACCATTAACTTTTATTATTTTTATTATCATCATCATTATTACTGTTATTGATATTATTATTTTTATTATTTTTATTATTATTATTATTATTATTATTATTATTATTATTATTATTATTATTATTATTATTATTATTATTATTACTATTGTTATTATTATTATTGTTATTATTACTGTTATTATTATGATTATCTTTATTATTACCATTGATATTATTATTTCTATTGTTATTGTTATTACTATTATTATTATTGTAATTATTATTTTCATTATTATTATTATTATTGTTCTTACTATTTTTATTGTTTTGTTGTTGTTATTATTATTATTGTTATTGTTATTATTATCATTGTTATTGTTTTTTTACCATTATATTTTTTTTTTCTCTTTATTTATTTACATGATTATTTTTTGCCATCATCATCATCATGAGCATTATTATTATTATCAAATTTAATATTTTTTTGTTATTCTTGTTATCATAAGTAGCACTGTTTTTCTTTTGATTTTGTCCCTACCCTTCCTGCTTATTACTTAAGTGTTATTGATATATTCACTCCAGCTAAGAAAATAAAATGTTTCTAGGATTAGAAGACTGAAAAAGCAGTCACAAATTTAGTTTTGATTCCAATTCCAAATGTGAAGTTTCATTCAATAGAATGCTCCCCCTGGTGGGCAAACAATTAGTATAGGGAGAAAAAATGAATTATCATCACAGAAATTTGTAAAATGTAAAATTCAAAACATAGCCCAACCATTTTATTTAGAAAGTTAGCTTCTGCTTAACTATTTGTGTTTTGAAAATAATTTAGAATGAAATTTGTAGATTCACTGAGTAAATATGTTAGTGTGGACCACATATAATTGTTGCACTTCACTTCTAAAGTTTCTTCTAAAGAACCACTGCATGTCTCATTTTGGAAATTACAAATAGGAAAGTAACTCGTGCTGCCCCAAGACACTTTAGCTAGATGTGTTTGTTACATATTTATTTTTTATGGCATGTTTGTGATACATTTTATTTCTTACCCAGGCTATGTCTGGGGAATCCACGTCCCCCTGGCTAGGGGGTGAGGTAAGATGTTTCGTTTATTGTTTTCTTTTTAATCTGTGGAATGGTGTTCTATTTTATGCTCCTTTTTTATTTTTTATTTTTTTACTTAGAGTTGTGGCTTTGAAATCAGTTTGAAGTAATTGTAGACAAGATTTATCTAACAAATACCATAGATAATCTTATACACATCATAGGCTTTTGCTTCAAATACTTGATCTTTTGTAATTACCACATATGAAATAAGAATTGATAATGTATGACAGTTTTTCAAGTTATAGCAAATTGTGTTTAAGTCATGATATATTGTTGATAGCTGCAAGGTGCACATCTCAGTAGGCCATTATAAAGGATTTGCATGCCAATTTGAAATTACGAATGAAACTTGACTACGCAGACAATACAAACATGATTATTGATTGTCAAGATTAAAACTTTTGTATCTTGTTAGGATAAGAAGCTGCACAGGAAGGTATTTCAGAGGCCTTGATCCATTGTATTTTTCAAATCTCTTACAAAGTCAGATTTGTATGGCACTTCAATACAGTCTGTTTTATACCCTGCCATTATTTTTGATTTTGTAGTGCATTGACCAGTTGCCGCCAGGGATGGCATATGTGTACAAGACACAGAAACACACACACACAAACACACACTCAAACACAAACACACACACGGCGTAATAACTTCGTATAGCATACATTATACAAAGTTATACGAATGTGTGTGTTTGTGTGTGAGTGTGTGTGTGTGTGTGTTTCTGTGTCTTGTACCCATATGCCATCCCTGGCGGCAACTGGTCAATGCACTACAAAATCAAACACAAACACACACACGGAAACACAAACACACACACGGAAACACAAACACACACACGGAAACACAAACACACACACGGAAACACAAACACACACACGGAAACACAAACACACACACGGAAACACAAACACACACACGCACACACACACACAAGAACACACACGCACACACGCACACACAATTACACACACTCACACACAGGCACACACACACAAAGGCACACACACACAGGCACACACACACAAAGGCACACACACACACACATACACACATACATATACTGGTGCACACTCACATACTGGCACACATACACATACTGGCACACATGCACATACTGGCACACATACACATACTGGCACACATACACACAAGCGCACACACACAGTTACACACACACACAGGCACACACCCACACACAGGCACACCCACACACACACACAGGCACACCCACACACACACACAGGCACACCCACACACACACAGGCGCACACACACAGGCACAGGCACAAACACATATGCACACACAAACAGGCACACATACACACACAGGCACATACACACAGGCACACACAAACACACACACGGACACACAAACACACACACACACACACACACATGCACTCACACCCACACACATGCACTCACACACACACATGCACACACACACAAGCGCACACACACACAGGTGCACACACACAAAGGTGCACACACACACAAAGGTGCACACACACACACTCGTATCACCTCGTATAATGTATGCTATACGAAGTTATTACGGGACACACAAACACACACACGGACACACACCCACACACACGGACACACAAACACACACCCGGACACACAAACACACACACGGACACACACCCACACACACGGACACACAAACACCCACACGGACACACAAACACACACCCGGACACACAAACACACACACGGACACACACCCACACACACGGACACACAAACACCCACACGGACACACAAACACACACACGCACACACAAACACACACACGGACACACAAACACGGACCCACAGGCACAGGCACAGGCACACAAACACGGACACACAGGCACAGGCACACAAACATGGACACACACATACATGCACTCCCACACACACATATGCACTCACACACACACACATGCACACACACACACGCACACACACACACACTGACACATACACACAGGCACACACAAACACACACACGGACACACAAACACACACACGGACACACAAACACACACACGGACACACAAACACACACACGGACACACAAACACACACACGGACACACAAACACACACACGCACACACAAACACACACACGGACACACACCCACACACACGGACACACAAACACACACACACGGACACACAAACACACACACGGACACACAAACACACACGGACACACAAACACGGACCCACAGGCACAGGCACACAAACACGGACCCACAGGCACAGGCACACAAACACGGACCCACAGGCACAGGCACAGGCACACAAACACGGACACACAGGCACAGGCACACAAACATGGACACACACATACATGCACTCCCACACACACACATGCACTCACACACACACATGCACTCACACACACACAGATGCACTCACACACACACACACATGCACTCCCTCACACACACATGCACTCACACACACACATGCATACAGGCACGCAGGCACACACAGACACATGCACACACACACACACATGCACACACACACACACACGCACTCACACACACACATGCACTCACACACACACATGCACACACACACACGCACACACAAACATACACACACATGCACAGAGGTGCACACACACAAACACAGACGGAGGCACACACACAGGCACACATGAAACGCACACACACACACAGATGGAGGCACACACACAGGCACACATGAAACGAACACACACACACACACGCACACGTGCACATTGGGGCACACACACAAGCACACACACACACACGTGCGCGTGTGCACACTGGGGTACACACACATGCACACACACACAAGCGCACACACACACAGGTGCACACACACAAAGGTGCACACACACACAAAGGTGCACACACACACAAAGGTGCACACACACACAAAGGCACACACACACAGGCACACACACACACAGGCA